ATTGCGTTTTCAGAAAGGGCCACTGAGACAATCAAAATTACTTGGAAATCAGAAAGACCAGTGTGGGTTCCTCAGTGGCCCCTGACTAAAGAAAAGATACAAATAGCCCATGACCTGGTCAAACAACAATTAGCGGAGGGACATATACAACCTTCCGTAATGGACAAAATCTCGTATGTCATTTCAGTGAAAGTTTTTTGATTTGGAATTAAAGTAAGGTGGGATTGCTCCTTCAGTTATCTAGAATTTGGAATATATGAGGTCAATAATAATTCCCTGGCTTTTATAATCAAGACCAAATCTCATTTTCTCTACTTATGCTTGGACCCAAAGGGCCTCCAAGTTACAAAATCAAAGAGAATATTTTAGTATTCATATCATTTGCCATTCATCTCCAGATCTAGATATAAAAATAATTCTCATAGCAAAGGATGATAATCAGCATTCATCATTTCTAGGGTAAAATTATGAGGACGGAAGAAAACCATGAGGAGTAATAAAGATCATACTTCTTCTTCTTAAATAATTATGAAGCCTCTGTTGTGTACATAACCATGATGTAGATACTAAATTGTCTTTGTAGCATCTTTTTGGACAAAATTATAACCTTAAAAACCTAGATTTGGAAGGAACTATTCATCAAATTGCAAGTTAAGAGGTCTGGGAGGAGAAATCACACCTAATGTAAGCAGTAAAGGAACACAAGAAGACAAATTAAAGAGAAAGCATGGAATTTGGGGATTACACAGAGGGGAGCAAGAAATGAAAGGGACTTCATGCTGGCAGGGAAATCACATTTGCCAAAACCCCCAGGTGCTCCAGTGAATAATACTCTGAAAGCACAAATCATTATAATAACTGCATTAGGCTAATAATATAGCAACCTCCTATTTGGGTAAAATACTTGGATGTAGATAGTAAATTCTTAGATATAGGGAAACATTTTATTTAATTAGTGGAAGTTTGATTATCTCTGGATGTGTTCCATTAGTGTACCTTGGTTATTTGAGTGTATCCATTATCAGGAGTTTGGCTTAACGAGTCCATTTATTGAGCTCCACCGAGATGTTTTTCTGCTTAACTCCTTGTGGCTGAGTGTTGTGGGGCTGGGTCTTAATGGTTTTCAGGTTTCTTTGCATGCACGTTAGTGGCTTGTTAGAGCAGTTCTAGCAGGGGAGCATTTCCATATAAGGGTGCCTTAGCCCTCAGTTAGCAGGAGGTGGGAAATCAGACAGAGATGCCTTCCAGAGCTGAGGGGGCCTCTTGGCATTTCCCTGGCAGCCACATGCTTATCATCAGCCAGAACCCAGGCACTCATTAGGCTCTTGATGAAAAGCATCCCAAAGAAAATGCCAGCAAATTGTGCCACTGTGCTGGCAGGAAATTAAAACTGCTCAGAGCAAGTGGAGCCAAGAGAGCTGTTGAAATGAAAGGTAACATCAAGGGTGTGATCACTGACTCACATAGTCGTTCAGGATTCAGGATGCAGCTTTCTGCTTCACTGGGGAAAGCACGAGGCCTTGTCTGTCAGCTGGAGTCGGTTCCACAACAGGGCTGAGACAGGCAGGGAGGTGGATTCTGTGAATTAAGCTTTGTTGTGCTTGGATAAACGCTAGGGGTTTGGGTTGTTTTCTTTCCCCTAAAGGAACATCTCCCAGAAAACAAGAAAAGTTTTTGTTTTTCCAACTCTGAACACTTAAAGACCAAATTAAGTTAAAGAAAGATTCTAAAAGCACTACATGGTGGTAGTCAGACAGAATGGAGCAGGGCAGAAGGAAGCTCAGAACCCATGAATCTAGCAAGGGACAAGTGGAGGGACACTGTAATTCCCGAAGGGTATTTTGTGAGTGTTGTTACTTTAATGCTGAGGTTAAAATAGTTAACAGAATAAGAACAACTGGTAGCACTAACATGCAAGCAAAGGCCCATAACTTTCCCCTGAACTGAGTGTGGTAGGCAGAGTAGTGAACCCCCAAAGATTTACAGGTTCCTTGGAGCCTATAATATGCAAAGGGGAAATAAGGTTGCTAAAATGCTGACTTTACTAGAGGAGATTATCCTGGATTTTCCCATTAGGCCTACTAAAATAACAGAGGTTCTTAAATATGAAAAAGGAAGACAGACATAGAAGTCAGAGTAATATGAAGAGGACTCAGTTAATCACTGCTGGTTTTGAATCCATAGGAAAAGGACTGCAAGCCAGGGAAATGGGCAGTCTCTAGAAGTTGGAAAAGTCAAGGAAATTGATTCTCCTCTTGGACTTCTAGAAAGTAGTACAGCCCTGCTGATACCTGGAGCCCAGGAGAATCATGTTGAACTTCTGACCTTCAGAACAACAGATAATAAACTTTTATTACTGAGGTTACTAAGTTTGTGGTAATTAACAGAAGCATCAATAGAAAATGAATACTTTGATATGTAGTAAAATGTATCTGGTGTTCTAATGTGATTCATTTATAATACTTGGGGTGGGGGAAAGTAAGGCAAGAATAGAGAAGATCTCAAAGGCACATTTACATGTTAGAACTATAAGGCAGATTGCATTATTCTACTTCATCTTGAAAATAGTCTTTAAAGGCTGCATCATCATTTCTAATCTATAGATTAGGATTTTTTTTAAAAAGTAAGACAAACTAGACATGGGGTTGCATGTCTATAATCCCCACAACTTTTGAGTCTGATGCAGGATTGCAAGTTTAAGGCCAGCCTCAGCAATTTAGCGAGGCCTTAAGCAACTTAGCAAGACCCTGTCTTAAAATAAAGAAGTCTGGGGATATAGCTCAGTAGTACAGCTCCCCTGGGTTCAATCCTTATTCCCCCAAAACTAACATAAATAATGTGTAAGACAAAAAATATTCTTAAGGGGCAGGGGTTGTGGCTCAGCAGGAAAGCGCTTGCCTCACAAATTTGAGGCACTGGGTTTGATCCTCAGCACCACATAAAAATAAAAAAACAAAATAAAGGTATTGTGTCCAAGACTATATATATATATATATATATATTTATATATATATATATATATATATATTCTTCAATTAAAACCCTTCAGTGGTTCCCCATCTTATCTATACCAAAATTCAAGCTATGACCCTAACCTATAAATCTCTACATCAGTAAGGACCTTGTTAGAAAAGCAACACTCACACCCTACTACAGACATTTTCAAACTGAATCTCTGAAGATAGGACTCAGGAATCTGTGTTTTAACTTGTATTCTAAGGATTTTTTTTTTTTTTGGTGAGAACTGGGTGGTTGGGGGTTGGTACTGAACCCAGGGCTTCACACCAGGTGGGCAAGCACTCTACTACTGAGCTACATGCCTAACCCTCCAAGTGATTCTTACACACCCTAAAAGTTTGAAAAGCGCCACTCTATATAGAGGCATACCACTGTCATCCTTGCCTGTCATACTGCAACCACACAGGACTTCTTCATTTCTTGAACATGGCAAGTTTGCTCATTTTTCAGGCTTTTGTATTATCTGTTATCTCTACCTATTTAGTCTTCACTTAGAAACTTGTCTGTTGGCTCATGCTATTCAGGTTCTTGAGTTTTTCCTGATCATGAACACACAAGAATTTAAATAAACAGTGCTCATGCAACTGGTCCCCATTATTTCAGCATTACCTATGTTTATGATTTAAGAAAAAGAATCAGTCATGAATAGAAAGCTAAAGATGATAACAAAATGGACATGAATTATTAACTATGTAGATAGCTTATATGTAAGTTTTGCTGTAAGTTTTTTTCATTTGTGATCACAATACTTTTTTATTTCTTAAAAATTGTGATATTGGGATATTACCTTTGGGAAAACTTTTAGTGCCAGTAAACGTGGTAATTTTTCTATCTCATGATGTTACATATACAATTCATTCAAAATCTTTGAAGGGAGTCCTTGATTAGCAAGTACTACTGCCAGCATATACTTTATACATTAGCAAGTCATTGGCTGACCAAAGTACTGTGCTTTTCCAATTTCTAAAGTCTGCCATTTTTACAATGGATTCTATTGTATTTTATAAGTCTTTTGATAAGGTCTTTAAGGTTGATGGTTTTTCTCTTTTATAATTTAGCTTCAGTAGATTGTTTTTATAGCAAAAACATAAAGGAATATCAAAGTTTTATTTTATTGAAAATCAATAGTTTACTCAGATGAGCATTTAACATTTTTTATCTTTCACAATAATAAGTTCCTACTGCAATTAATAAACTGCAGACTGTCAGTGGTGTTTCTTAATCTCTTAACATTCCAGGATGGGCAGTTCCCTTCAGTAGATGACTTTCTCTCAACCCCTAGAACCTCAGAATTCTCTGCATCCAGCCAGCAGATAGGAGAAGTAAAGAAGGATGGACTGCAACCTAAATTTCAGATTTGGAAGTGATGTCACTTTTGCTTATACTGCCTTGGTGAAGATATGTCACAAGGCCACAGTTATATGAAGGTCAGATGGAAATTTTGTCCCTGGGTAGGCAGCCATTCCCAGGGACAAAATAACCCTGCAAAAGAGGACTACAAAATCTATGGGCAGTCAGCTGTTTGCACTACAGAAACGCATGTTATTTATTTTAGCACTGTGCTTTACTGGAACTGCCAATCAAATGTAATGCACAATCACAGCAAATATAGTTACCACATGTGTTTTGAACTCTTTTAACCATGCCTTTATTATATACTCTCTTAGCACTTATTATTTCCTCATTTAGAAATTCTCATTATTCCTATAATTATTTGTTCAACTACATTGTAAGCTTCTTATGGGTATGACCATGGTTACCTCATAAAATTGTATCATTTACCTACCACAGTGCCTCACATACAGTCATCCTAATAAATTATTTTTAATAAATGAATAAAGATACTAAATTTGTGTTGCAGCACATTGTCCCTTAAGATATGTGCTCTTTTTAAGCTACCTCCAATCATTTTTTGGACAAGTGGTTTAATGAATAAATCAAGCTGAAATTAAGATTCTTTATTCTTTTTTCTTTTCATTAAGGCCATGATGCCATTGTCACACTCCTGAAGCATTATAAGAGACCCCAGGATGAACTGCCCTGTAATGAATATTCTCAGCCTGGAGGAGGTACCATCATTTTTATTCAAGTTTCATTGCTGTACAAACCGTGCCTAAAGGCAAACCTGTGTTTCTATTATTATCATTCTGGGGATAGTGGGAGAGCATAGACTTTGTCAGATTAACCTTATTTTCAGAAAAAAAAAAATTTGTCTATGTGAGAATGAATTTAAAGAAGCTTCCATTTGGAACTTTGAATAAGGCAAAGGGGAGAAGGGTGGGGAGGTGGTATGGGGCTAGGAAAGATGGAGGAATGAGATGGACATTATTACCCTACATACATGTATGTTTGTGCTAATGGTGTGACTCTACTTTGTATACAACCAGAGAAATGAAAAATTGTTCTCAATTTATGTACAATGAATTGAAGTGCATTCTGCGGTCATGTATAATTAATTAGAGCAAATTTTAAAAAGAAAAAAAAGGAAGAAGAAGCAGCAGTTTCCATTTAGGCTTTTTTCTAACTCTCATTAATCCACAGTTTCTCCAAGTTTACCTGGACTGGATGTATATGAGGCTTGGACAAGAGTAGTAAGGCCTGGGTAAGCTGAGAAGGGTCATTTTCCATTTCAGTTACCTATTACGGCAGGGCAGAGAATACTCATAGCCAGACACAAATTAAATCTGCTGGAGTCTGCTACAAATTGGATTTCTTTTTAATCTTTTTATGCCCTTTCTAAATAAACACTTGTAGTACAGTTTCAGTATCCAGAGAATAGATTTGGGCCTTAGGCTATAGTTTTTCTTGGTTTCATCACCTGTTTCTTTTTATAATGTTGAACTTTTATGTAGAAAAAAATGATTGCTACTTTCAACTCTATTATATAATTTGATTTCTAGATGGCTCCTATGTGTCTGTTCCATCCCCATTGGGGAAGATTAAAAGCATGACAAAAGGTACTTGTAAATGGGAAAACTCTTATATTTTATTACTCAGGATAATTATTGCCTAAATATGATAACATTCTAGTTTGTTTAACATATTATGAATAATGACTATTTTATAAGCATAAGAAATATTATCAACAGATCATCCTTCTCATAATTAACCTTATCTTTTATGCCTTTTCAGTTCATTAAGATATAACAGAGAACATTTTATGAGTTTTAAAGTGCATCAATTCTCATAATGCTTTGTGAATATTTGTATTTTTTAATAAAATATAAATTACAAATACTAATATTTACTTTAGAAGAATTGGGAATGGATGTACCTTAGGGAAAAATTAGCAAAAGCATAATTCTTTTCCAAAAATAAGTAATAATTTGGGAACTTTTTTTGAATGTTTGCTATAAACCAAAATTAATTCCACTGGACCAGAAGGGTATAAAATATTATTACATTATAAATTTATATTTAACTATTTGGAATATGCAGTCTTTTAAAAATATTTTTTAGTTTTGGGTATTTCTTTAGATACTTGAAGTGCTTGTTTTCTGTCATTTAATTTGCATCCTTTTGAGTTTTAGTTTATTGATATTTAACTTAACCTATTGATAGCGGGTTGAAAGGATTGACGAGATAAGAACTTTATCACAATGTTACATAAACTGTACCCCAGGGATGCCATATCCTGTGTGTGTGTGTGTGTGTGTGTGTGTGTGTAGTACATATTCACATGTGTGCTTTTAAATCTTAAAAAGTATAATGACAATTTCTGTTTGCAGAGAAAGCTGATGTTCTCCTCCTAAGGGCTGGATTGCCTTCACATTTCCATCTTCAACTCTCAGAAATTGAGTTCCATGAGATTATTGGCTCAGGTAACCTAAGAAACTATAGTTCTACTTTAATTAAAATGAGCTCAAGATAATATGTACTTATTTATTTATTTTAAACAATTTTAGGATCTTTTGGGAAAGTATATAAAGGACGATGCAGAAATAAAATAGTGGCTATAAAACGGTAAGCAAATGAAAAAAATTACCATCTAGGTAGAGTGGTGAGCTTTGACAACTATATACACAGCAAACCTCTTGTTGGATTCATTAATTGATGAGAATTTCCTCTTGCTGCCATTTCTAGTTATCGGGCCAACACTTACTGCTCCAAATCAGATGTGGATATGTTTTGCAGAGAGGTGTCTATTCTCTGCCAGCTCAATCATCCCTGTGTAATTCAGTTTGTGGGTGCTTGCTTGAATGATCCCAGCCAATTTGCCATCGTCACTCAGTACATATCAGGAGGTTCTCTGTTTTCCCTCCTTCATGAGCAAAAGAGGTATGAGTCTCTTGTTCTGCCTTATACTTGAACATGGCATTCAACATGGCATTGAAATTTTCCTGAGGCATTTCTGAGGCTTTCTGATTGCATGAACCTTCACCTTTGGAAACCTCTGAATACTAGTGAGTGTGCATTAAATATGGCTAATAATTTATGACTAATTATTGTATTTCAAGGAATAGAAATATTTCTGTGACTTATTAATAGGAATTCAGTTGAAGGTAACAAATTCAAGGAATTTAAATTGGCAACTGAAACATTATTACGCTATTTGACATACCAATAAAGCAGATATATGTAAACTCAGAAGAAAATAATTACCAAGATCACCATATAAGGAAGTTTTAAAAAGAAATGATCTTGCACAAGCCTAATTTGAATTTATTTCCTAGATCTATACATACAGTAATTAGAATGTGGTTTTGTACAGTTATTAAAAATAGATCTTAACATTATTACAAATAATTTAAATATATTGCAAATAAATTAGAAAATCAAGTACAATATTTTAAATGAAACGTATTGTATACCTGAGTTGACCTATAATTAAGCATTTTCTGAGGTAGAAATATTTGTTAAACTTTTTCATATAACCTTCAATTAATTAAAAACAGACTAAAATTACACAGAAAAAACCAAAACATATATACCTTGATTTCTTTTAAAAGATATGGCATTGGTTTTGACTTTTTTTCCTTCCACTGAATCTATTTTTAAATTTTAGGATTCTTGATTTGCAGTCTAAATTAATTATTGCAGTAGATGTTGCCAAAGGTATGGAATACCTTCACAACCTGACACAGCCAATTATACACCGTGACTTGAACAGGTATTTTTTTTTCCTAATAATGAACTTAGAATTGTCTGACTGACTAGTAGCCTAAGATAGATTCAATAAAGATACATTTTAGATTTACTGCAGATGAGTATTTTCTCCCTACTCTGTGAACAAGGAATTGGGCTATCATAAGCCCAGGCAATAGAAAGTTTTGTCTTTTACCAAAATAGAAGGCTATATAAAAGTGCTTCTCAGGCATCTTCCAAATCTAGAAAGAATTTCCAGAAAGAGTGCTGCTTGTAAGATGTGCCAACAAACTATAATCATGTGCCTCATGACAGTGTATTCATGAGAGTGGAGCCAAGGTCCCATAAAATTATAATGGAGCTGAAAAATTATTATAACTCAGTGACATTGCAGCCATGGTAAAGTGGTGCACCATGTTACTCAGGTTTGTGGCAGTACTGATGTGAAAAACCTATAATATTGCAAGTATAAAAAAGTATAGCACAAGTATAGCACAATTATCATTTTGATAATGATAATTTAGCAACTACATTCCTGGTTTAAATATTGGTATTATACTTTTTATTATAATTTTAAACTACCACTTTGACTTATTAAAAAAATTACTGTAAAACAATATGGCATGTTATGCTGGAGCAGACCTCATATATCTCATGTTTACTGCATCTCATGCATCAAGAGACCATATTTAGTGATTGACTTATATCATCTAGGTTCGTATAAGTACACTCTGTGATGTTTGCCCAATGACAAAATCACCCCTAAAAATCCATTTCTCAGAACATATCCTCATTCTTAAGCAAACACATGATTGTACTTTCCAGGTAAGGAAGATCAGATCAAGAATTAAGCTCATTGACTCCTAAAGACTGTCACGTCTCATACAAAGTCACTTGTTAGAGGAGGACCCTATTTGAAGTAATACTTTGTGCTACTATTTTGGTATTTTGGAATTAGTGAATTCAGCCAAACTAGAGCAGGTTGTTTACCTAGTTTTCATGTGAAGAGGCTTTCATGAGAAATAGAGACTTGAAACAAAGGTAGAATCAAAGTGCCCCCATGGTGGAAACTCAGGGGATTTCAAAAAGTTTTCTTGGGCTGGGGATGTGGCTCAAGCTGTAGCGCGCTCGCCTGGCATGTGTGCGGCTCAGGTTCGATCCCCAGCACCACATACAAAACAAAGATGCTGTGTCTGCCGAAAAATTAAAAAATAAATATTAAATATTCTCTCTCTCTCTCTCTCTAAAAAAAAAGTTTTCTTAAATAATGAATCCTTTCTCCAAGCAAAGTCTTACACAAAAGGCCAATATACAAAATGTGACACCTCCCCTTTTAAGTAGGAAGTGCCCTGGGTCATGTCTGTAGAATCCCAAAGGTACTGTAGAGAAGAGCTGGAAAACCACTGATGCAGTTTATGAAATAAGGCATATTATTCCACAAAATAACTTTGCTTTAATGATTATCAGTAAGGTTCATATGAGTCCTTTATATAGTCTTTTATACAAACCTCACAGTTCTGAAGCTACTAAATATTAATGAATTACTCTACTCAAAAACTATTTGGACATCTATTATGTTTAAAGCCTTTATACAGGGCACAGTAGAACTTACAAAGGGAAACTGCACCAGAATCTACTTTTAAGGATCCTTCACATTCTAAGAGGAAACAAATATTCACCTAAATATATTTTAAGTACCAAATAACAAGTACTATAAAATAGAGAGTAAAATTTTCTATAAAATTTCAGAACAAAGAATGTTACTTACTTCTGAGGAGTTCAGTGTCAGCTCCATGGAACAAGTGACATGTGACCTTGTTTGTAAGGGATGAATAGAATTTGAAAAAGGATCCTAGGTTCACAGGAGACATTTATAAAATAGATTGAGATTAGAAAAGTAAAGGCATACATAGGAACTATGAATAACTTCATCTTAGTACAAAACGTGTGTTTTTATTATGTATATAATGTATGAAGAGACAATTAGGAAAGAAATATGGAAAAATAAAACAAGAGCACAGAAATCAGTGTGGGCTGGACTAGGGTTTAGACATTGTTCTTTTAGCAAAAGTAGGCACTAAGGATATTTGAGCTGGAAATCACAAATCTGAGGCTACATTATAGAAATAGTAATTAACCTATGGCAAAAGATAACCTTGAAGGTAAAGTCTAGAACCCGCTGAGGAAGTTACTGCAGTATTCTGTGATAAGCAATGAAAAGCAGAATTTCTCTAGTGGCAAGTATAAATGAAAGTAGAAAATTAAATCAGACATGAGAGTGGTAGAATCTTGGAAGTAAATAATATGGGACTTGTTTATAATTATTTAGTGATTTTCAAATAAAAGTAATTTCTTCACTGTTAACCATAGGTTCTTTAAAAAAAATATATATATATATATATATATAACTATATATATATAGTTATTGGATACAAATACCTTTATTTTATTCATTTATTTTTATGTGGTGCTGAGGATCGAACCCAGCACCTCACATGTGCTATGCGAGTGCTGTACTGCTGAGCCACAACCCCAGCCTAACTATAGGTTTTTTTACCTCTTTTTACAAACAAATATGATGTTAATAAGCATAATTATTTTCTTTGAGTTTTGCTAACAATATTTAGGAAACAGATTTAGATGATAAATTAACATAATGCAAACTGATGATTTTGAGTTTAGGGATTATTACTTTGCCACCCTAACCATCTTTGCAAATGGCATTAAAACAAATGAGTGATGACTGAAAGTTTTCTCTAGCTATAACTCTTCATTTGTAGGACAATTAAGTGTACATTCTGTTGCCTTGTAAGTGCAAGTTTTTGCCATCAGTTATATAGCAGAACTAAAAAATATAAATGTTGACTAAAAGTGAATATAAAATATTTACTATATATAACAGATACAGGTTTACATTTACCATTTTTGCTCCTCTAACATAAATGTTTGAATTGCATAAAAATTCCTCAAAATTTATGAAAAAATAGATACCTTCAATGTATTGTCCCAACTAGTGCATCAATTATTTGTGCACTATTTTTTACCAATCTTTAATCTATAACAACAATAAAACATTCAGTTTTCCAGATTAATGCAGGTACAAAAAAAAACATGGATCCTGCCCCTCCAAGGGTTTACTACCATCTAATGGGTAGATAGGTCATATACCCAAGAAGCAACTAAATCAAAATGATTAAGGGCCAAAATGATTTAAAAGCTATTTTTAAATAGCAACTTTGAAACAGAAAATTTAAAGGGATTGCAAGTCAGTAAAAAAATCAAAGTAGAGTGGAATGCTTCCTGGTGGTCTTGGAGCTAAAACCAGAGGTTGAAGAATGGGCATAATTCTTGCCTCAGTCTGTTCCTACTATATTCATTCACCCTTGTTTTTCAGAGTATTTAGGGAGTCCCACTGAAAATAGGAGAGGGAAATATGCATGTCAGAGTGTGTGGAACTCAGACACTGGTTTGCCTTTCTATTGACATGATTTGCTAACATTTTTATCTCCCCAGTGCTCCAGACAAGGCAGAACTTGAAGTCAGAGACCTTTTTCTCTTCATCCCACATTTCCAGAACTGAGCATAGTGTCCACACATAGTAGATGCTCAATCAATGTATTTTTAGCTAAAACAAAGGCTTTGAATACTTTAAGAATGACATTTTAGGAAGAAATGGCCTAGTCGATACAAGTATGGATACTTTTAGACAAAATCTGAGTAACTTACTCAATGCCATTTATAATTTTTAAGGAAAGAAACTGTTTAAGATTACTGATAAACCTATAGAAAAAAGAACACATCTGTATTTGCATTTGGGGTTATTGATATTATTTGATTTTTCCCTGGCAAGCAAAGCCTCTCTGAGGCATATTATACAGTAGGTAAAGTTAATTTTGATCTTCAGTATATACTAAAGGAAAATTGAAGGAATGAGTAAGGGAATAATTCTTTTCAATGATTATGAGAATAGCAATGATACCTACCATTTATAGCTTTTACAACACGAAGAGAACTCCACTAAGATTTTGTCATGTTCTCATTTAATTTCACAGCAATTCTGTGCTACAGTGTTATTATCTCCATTTTACAGATAAGGAAACTGATTAAAGATAGTACTGTACTATATTTTAACTACAACAATGAAACTATGTCCAAAGAGAGAAATAGAAGTCTGTTGATCTTGGATGGGCATCAATAATATTTACAAATTTGGCTATTTGTATTTCAGTCTTACAATTTTGATTCCTCTAATCCATAAACCATTTTTCATCTCATCTCCACATGCTTCTGTGTTCTGTTTTATTTCTTCTTCCACATACTACTTCTGCTGGTATGGAGCAAAGGTTGAGTTCTCATTCAGATATGTTTTGTTTGGCCCAAGGAGTTTAAATATTTTTAAAGTATTCAAAGCTTTAAGCAGGAGTACACTAATTGCTATGGAACCCATCATCTACCAGCTTATACCTAGCCTAAATTTTTCGCACTCATCTTGTGACATTGGGTCTTGCAAACCATGGTTTACAACTAAATGTTTTAAAGCTTTTTACTTAACACAGTAGTCTATGTTTTCTTGGAAAAATACCTTTTCTAAAGGGTTTGACATTGAAACAGAAACATTGCTGCAAATATATACTGAGCACATGACTGGTCTTCTCCCAGATAAGTCTATACTATTTTATAACAGCACTGTAAGAAATGAAATAGCAATACCTCCTTTACAAAATGGCCATACCACACTCCCATGAGACTTTACAAGTTTTGAAGCTCTACACAAATATTAATTTTATTGATCTTAGTCCCTCATTTGTTCTCTTATATGGGGAGAGCGTTGATAAAAAACACTCTACAATAACCTCATACATACAGATACTTATTTTTATAAAGCACAGCTAATTAGTGTGCAGTCTAGATCTGAGAAGGACTCACTGCTGGTTTTTGAGTGTCAGCTTATTCTGGGGAATATAAAGGAAAATAATTAGTGATAATTTAAAAACAGCAAACTTTCCAATGTTGAATGACAGATAA